ATGAAGTCTCAGGGAGAGCTTAATGACAAGCTTGCTCGCTACATCCAGTTCATCGACATGTTTGATTTTGAACTAAGACACAAGAAGGGCTGCTACAATTGAGTAGCAGATGCCCTTTCTCGTAGGCACGACACTCTTTTCCTGATCTCCTTTACTCACTCATTTGGAGAAAGGACTCGTCAGACCATTGCCAGGTTGCTGCCCCGGGATGAGATTTTTGGGCCTATTGTGAGGAATCTCCAGGATGATCCTGCCTCTGAACCAGGATATACTCTGGTCTCAGGTTTGCTGTACACATGCAGCAGAGGCGAGGAACGCCTGTGCATTCCCCAGGACCGCAAGCTGAGAACACTTCTGATGTCAGAGTGTCAAGATGCTCGTGGTCACCTTGGTGCCCTCAAATCTTATACAACCCTGTCGCAGCGCTTCTTTTGCAAGGAGATGAGGAGTGACATGCTGCACTACGTAGAAACCTGTGAGTTATGCCAAAGGAACAAGGTTGTACGTCGACCTCCCCTTGGCCTACTCAAACCACTACCTAACCCAGATGCACCTGCACAGTTAGTGTCGATTGATTTTACTGACTTGGGTAGGACCACGCCTCGTGGTATGCGTCAGGTTATGGTATGTGTGGACCGGTTCTCTAAATATGCAGAGTTCATCCCCTTACCAGCTGCTGCTCGCGTTCCGGCCGTTCAGGCGGCATTTGCTGACAGGTGGGTTACACATCATAGACCACCCACCTCTATCGTCAGTGATCGAGATCCTCGTTTCTACAGCAATGAATGACAATCCTACTGCAGGGATTACCTTCATTCCAGATTGGATATGACATTTGGTCGTCATCCTGAAGCCAATGGACAGGTTGAAGTGATGAACCAGATTCTATTCCAATTGTTGTGTCCTGTTATCAGTCCAGATCAGCAGGACTCGGATCTCATTTTGGGTCGTGCACAACTTGTGTATAACACATCTGTACACTCCTCTACCGGCTTCACACCCTACCGGTTGCACTGGGGTCGTGAGCCACGGCAGCCTCTCGATGATATCATCAATAAGGCTACCCCTACGCTGACACCTGGAACTGCAAAGTTCACCAGGCGTTACCGTGTGGACATGGAGCGCGCCCGTGCCAACCTGCTGAAAGCCCAAAAGGCTATGATTCAGCAGGCTAACAAGCACAAGCGTCCTTCTACTATTCGCACAGGTGACTGGGTGTGGGTACTCAGTTCTGAGCTGTCGCAAGAGGAGGAGATTTCGCCTATGCTTCTGCCACGCTATATGGGTCCATGGTAGGTCTTAGATACAGTGGGAGCTCATCCATTTGTACCATCCTATACGATGGATGTCCCTCTGCATCTACAAACCTACCCTGTCTTCCATGCATCCAAGTTGTTGTCGTTCACGTCAACTGATGCATTCCCAGACAGGCCTCCTTAGTTTGGTCCCCCTATCCCTGGTAAGGGATATGAGGTGGAATCTATGGAGGGTGAGTCAGGTACGGGCCCAGACAAGGAGTACCTTGTGAAGTTCTTGTACCAGCCGCATACTGAGGACCGATGGTTTACTCGCAAGGAACTTCTGAAGACTGCAAAGTAAGTTATCCTCAAATATGAGGCAGCACAGAAGGGGGTATCCCTTCGGCGCTCTGCACGCCTACGCCCCTAGCTCGGAGGTCCTCGCTCCAGGGGGTGACTTGCTGTTTTCTGGTCGCCTGTAGCCTCTCTGTCGAGGCTGTACTATTGGTAGGATAGATTTGTAATTTTGTTTGGCTGAGGGTTAACCGAGAGACCTACCTGTGAGGGAAATTCGTGAGGGACAGGCCCGGTACTAACAGAATTCCCTACAGCCTACCCTAACTGCGAATAGCAGGCCCGGGCTACCCCTAGGACGGACAAGCCCTAAGGGCCTATTCTGATAGACTGTCCTATAGCCTATAGCCGGGTACGGTAGAGGCCGAGAGGCCGAAACTGATACGGTACCGGTCGATCAGTCAGTCCGGTCTAGGTCGAGTCTAGGCTAGCTTAGTCTATAGATAGGATGGGCACATCGGTTCAGGGCTTTTGGCAGTTGGTACCGAGTACATCACGGCTGCGCTATGCCTGAACCGGAAGTGGTGACGGCTCAGCGTGGAAGGAGACAGGCATAGCCAGACCTTCAGAGCGCCGGCCATAGCTGGGACCTGCGCTGTACTCTGCCAGCATGCAGGGGCTCACAGAGTTTTGGGATATTGAGGTCTGCTGGAGGCGAGAGAAGTTGGTGCCCTGCTGGACCCTCCTCCGGAGTGGGGTTCCAGGGTGGTGGCGCTGCAGCCATAG